CACAACACACACACACACACACACACACACACACACACACACACACACTCGCTCACTCCCCTGAATATAACGTACGGCCGTAATCGCTGTATCTAGTCTGAAAATTGCATCAAATACAACTGTAATGACCGTACATCAGCACAAGACGGCATTCCATATGCGATATCACCACTCCCAGTTTCCTGTCATGCCCTTAGACTGACTAATGCCCCTTGTACATTTCAAAGTCAAAGTTGTATGAAAATCTCTATTTTGAAACTGGCATGATCAATTCATGCAGTGCACATAGACGATATCTTAGTGTTTAGGAAGACCCTAGAAGAGCATATGGAACATCTGCGTCGAATCTTGTCAAAGATTAAGGAAGATAAGTTCAACGGAAACCTAAAGAAGCACCAAGTGTTGTACCTTAGTCATGTGGCAAATGGGGATTGCATACCGCCTGAAGCAAAACTTTAGCAGCAATTAGGGACTTGCCAATGTCGAAGACTCTCACCGAACTGCAATCATTCCTAGGCCTAGCAAAGTGTTACCAAAAATTCATACAGAATTTCTCAACGATCACAGCATCACTACGGAGACGTTTAATGGAGGCAAGATGGTGGTGGGACAAAGATTGCACTTCAGCATTCAAGAAGTTTGCTGACCCAGTGCTTAAGATCGCAGACCCTTCCCTACCATTCATCGTTACAACTGGTGCAAGTCAGTTTGCAATTGGGCCTGTACTACAGCAAGACGACAGCAAGGGGCACCGCCCAGTACAATTCATTTCTGAGTGGTCACCTTAGAAGAGAAAATCCCTGCATCTACATATGAGGGAGAGTTGTGCAAATTGTATAAGGCACTGCAGACTTGGTGGCATTGTTTCCTTGGTAGACACTTCATACCTTCACCCGAACACAATGTACGGTCATTATTGCTGTATTTAGACTGAACTTGGCTCACATGCAGGCATAATTACCGTACATTCTATTCGACTGAGGATGGTAGGATCATGAGACCTTGTGTTGGTTGAAAACCCAGTCTAAACAGTCACCAAAGTTAGCTAGATGGTTACAAGACATAGCTGAGTTCCATTGCAAGCTGAAGCTAGTCAACGGAATATATAATGTCTTGGCTGATGAGTTATTCCGTAGAGCAGACTTCTTATGTGCTGTTGTAACTGGCCTTGATATAGAGCAAGAATTGCAGCAAAAGATTAGAGAAGCATATGCAGCAGATCCCGTACTTAGTGAAGTGATAAGCCGTCCCTCATGAAGTGCCCAAGTATAGAATAACTGACAGATTACTCTTCCTCGTATCCACTGAACAACATTGTGCATACCAAATAACGTAGAGATTCCTAGCATAGCACCCAGCGAATGCCATGACACAGGACATTTCATATGGAGGAAAACATATGCCAACTTCCTTCGATCGTATAGATGGGCAGGAATGAAAACACATTGTATTAGGTTCATCCAACAGTGCAAGGTCTTTCACGACCTTGAGATTACAAACCAGACACCCAGGTATTTCAAACAGCTCTGTACAAATTGTACATGGGACGCTCGGCACGGTTCCCAGCACTGGGTGCTCCCCACGAATAGATCAGAGCGTTGTTTTGTTAAAAAATACATAAATAAATAAACGAGCCAGACATCCTTGGGACTGCTGAATGCACTGCCTATTCCCTCTGGACTTGGACAGTCCATATCTATAGACTTCTAGATACTAGATGACCTGTTGCAGCTTCGCTCGCAATAACAAATGCAACGGGTGATGCATTAATGGTGGAGGCAAACGACCAATGCAAACTCTCCCTCTCTCTCTCTCTCTCTCTCTCTCTCTCTCTCTCTCTCTCTCTCTCTCTCTCTCTCTCTCTCTCTCT